TGTATTTTCCACCTGAAAATCATTATTATTCAGGCCGCAGGAAAAATATTGAAAATCCAAGTATACAGTTTTTTTTTGTATTCTTTGTGAGAGTATTCAAACTAAGTTTGAAGTTAATCGGATAAAAATTGTAGATTTTTCATACAAACGTTGCAGCTCGTTTTCCCCCCTTTGGAGCTCGAATTTTCCGAAACCCCTTCTTAGTGCTCACTTTCACTATAAGAGGGATCTTCAGCTTCCTAGCTCTTACCGTTTGGGCTGTGCGTTGATTGCCAATCAGTCAGTCAGTCAGTCAGGACAAACTGTTTTATATAAATAGAGATGTATTCAATTGTACAGTTGAACACTTATCCATATGTGTATTTTGAATATGAATGTGGTGAGTGTAAAAGGTGTGTTTCTGCGTTAGTAAATCGCAAAAATACTTTCGTGGAATGAACTTAACGCTTAATGTCTCCAAGAATTTTTCAGAATACATTTGTAGCGTTGTTAGCTGACGCAATCGTTTAACACAAATGGTAAATCGCTTGTACAGCTACAGCTCAGACAGGCAGACGGCTAGAAATTGAGAGTCAGATGGAAAAATGTTCTTGTAGTAAAAAGGAATAAAAAAAATATATGTATATATATAAGAATAACAGAAACTAACTTAACTTTACTTAATAGCATTACTTATGCCACATATATATATATGTATATATATTTTAATGGAATATGCAGTCCTAGCTCCTTTTACCTGATGGCCATCGCAAAGAAATGAATGTAACTGAGATATACCTAGTACACTCTTCACTTCCTTCCATTTTTCGTTTAACTTATAATGAAGGGATAACTTTTCAATTTCAGCAGAAGGCATAAAATATATTTTAGTTCTCGAGCTGAAGACCCACGTTGCCATTGCTCAACATCATTGCTAGCTCATAATTTTAATTATTTGTTAGCTCTTTATAAATAAATAAATATTTTAGTTCTATTAATGTTGTTTTCTGCACATTGATAAAACGAAAAAGCATCCTCTAAAACAATGTTTTTCGATTTGGTTACTTGCCACACTTTTCTTTTAATTACGGCACCAACTCCATCAACTGCTCCCTTCCCGTGAGAACTTGCAAAAAAATTCCATTCGATATATAAGCATCTAATTTCTTTAATTATGTCAAGCTTGTCAAAATTTATTTTTTAATTGACTGCAGCTTCCATCCGAAAATATTAAAATTTTGCAAAAATGCCCATACAAGCTTTTAATTTCGAATAAAAGCTTTTAAACAAAAATAAATACGTCATGTTTATCATGCGTAAGTTTATCGCTTATTACCGCAAAGGACTGGGAAGCACCAGCCAACCAAGCTACGCAGGTAAAAATTGTTACCTGCGGTAGCTAAAATGAGCACTTTGTACTTCTTTTTGGTGTGTCAACCTATAATTTTCGGCGAAATCAATTTAAAGAACGAGCTTGGAAGGCTTTAGATTAGTTTTTGCTTTTTACAAAAAAAATAGGTTTTTAATGAGGGTAACTTAGTTTCCATTTCATGTACTAACTCAGATAAAGTAGGAACTTGTATTTGATAGAGTTATGTGGTTATCTATTTTACGCCATTGTTGCCAGTTAACTTCCTCTTCCATATTAGCCAAATATGCAAGAGGAATAAACTGATCTTTTAAATCTGTAAGGCACCTATTACAATTGTTTGTCATGCAATATTCATTTTGAGTATCGCAGCAAACTGCTTTAAGAAATGTTTCCAAGTCTCTGGGAAAACATGGAATAATTTTCGTGCAACTTTCCAAGAGAAAGCCGAAATTCTATCTTGTTTTAAATATTATTTGCAATAAAAAACTGTGTTTGCAGCTAATATTTTACGCTCCTTGTACAAATACCCTTGACGCTCTGATAACAAATGTACTTTTTCGATGTCGCACCCGACACCCAAATATACCTTAAAGCAAAGATAAAAATTGACCGTAATTGGCAATCGCATCGTTCCTTTTACATTTTTCTTATATTGCTTAAATATAAACCAATATTTAAAAGAGCAAATATCAATACATAATGTCTCTTATTAAAACAAAACGTGCAACAGATGTGTTCAAAACTTGACTTTTGCAGTTGTTCGACTTTGCATTTGATTTTTCCGAAATGTGTTATAAATAATCGTAAAATTTGATTACATTAGATAATTTGATAGATATCCTATACAAATATGTTAAAACATGATACTTGTGCAGACTTTGAGTTTTTTGGCTGCGGTTGACATTTCTAGAGACATGCCCATATATATTCTTGATCAGCGTGACAAGACGAGTCGAGCTAGCCGTGTCTGTCCGTCTGTCTGTCTGTCCGTCCGTATGAACACCTGGATCTCAGAGACTATAACAGCTAGAGACATCAAATTTTGCACAAAGATGGCTTATATGCGTCTTGACTTCAAGAATATATTGCAACAAAATTTAAATAAAATGGTCGATGGTTGTTCCAACAGGACATCGACCCAAAACGTACGGTTTACGTTGCCAGGGTTTGGTTGCTCCACAATGCACTACGCCAATTGAATATTTGACCGTAAAGCCCGGATTTGAACAATATTGAACACACATGGGAGCTTTTAGACCGGAAGCTGAGGAAATATGACGTTACCAGTGCGCCAAGCCTAAAGGAAGGGCTTCAGTCTACTTGGTAGGATATGACACCTGTAGAACTGCGATATCTGGTGGAGTCAATGCCGAGGCATCTTCAGACCGCCATTGAAGCACGTGGAGGTCCTACCAAATATTAAAATAAATATTATGCGGGGGTCAAGTTCTTTAAATCTCAGTATTTTTACGAATTGTCACGAATTTTTACGTCGAACGTACACTTTTGTGAAGGAAAAAATATGTTTTTTTCGTTTATATCTTTGTAACGACACCTCATAAGTTAATAATTTTTCGTTTACTTCCATAAGAATAGATAAGCTACGAAACTGCTTCATAGGTTTTTAAATAAATATTTAGTTCGGCCAGGTAGCAAAATATTGGATCGTATGTAGACCTTTGGCGCCCACTGTATGTACAGAGTATTTCAAAGTCTGGATACCTGACTTTAGCTTATCTACTTGTTCAAACAAACTTTGGAGCTAATTTTCCTCCCTTTGGAGCGCGAATTCTCCAAAATCCCTTCTTAGTGCGCACCTACACCATGGTAGGATGCTTGACCCCAAATGTCAGCTTTCTACCTCTTACCGTTTTGGCTGTGTGCTGTTAACACGGTCTCCTCTTGTTCCCCAACGTTTTTTTACGGGAAAACTTTCATATTTCAGGCCCCAAGAAAAATTTAAAACAAGTAAAAAGCTAAAGTAGGGTGTCCCAACTTTGAAATACTCTCTACATATGTTTATAATAATTATAGAAAATTATATTAAAAAAATTAAGAACTCTGAAAAAAAAAATTTGGATCTATTTTACCCCACTTGGTATTCGAACTCACGTAAAGGGTGTATAATTGCACATACACAAAGCAATTGCATCTATGTGAGTGTATAAATGCCTATGCGCATCTATTCGTGTCTATGTAAACATGTTTGCAGTCAACCAAAGCACCAGCATCAACAACAGCATGGGCAGCGCTTGAGCAGCGTTTCTGCAGCTCTTGAGCAGCAAATATATTTATGGCTATAACTTCTTGTTAAATCGGTCTATCATAGTCAAACTTGGCATACGAACACATAACTGGGGGTATTTGCAAAATTTTAGTTCAAAGTTCCAAGAATTACGGAAGTTACGATTTGCGGGGGAGATGGGGGTGGGAGGAAAATTTTGGCCTAGGGCTTATGGGAACTTGTATACCAAGTTTGGTTATCCTAGTTCTTATACTTTCTGAGATCCTTGCTCTCATACAGACAGACAAACGGACGCACATGGCTATAAAACTTGTCTTGTCAACTGATCAATAATATACATACATATGTATGTACAGAGTGCGTCATCTTTTATGTCGGTATGTAGATATTGAATAACTTTGTCATTAGTGAACCGATTGACTTGAGTAGACCAGTGTTGCCAACCTCAGTTTAAGAAATTGTACAGAACCAAATTAAATAAAAATATCTCATACTTGAAAATCGGTTGTTTATTTTCAAGGATATTCAATGTTTGCATACCGGCATAAAAGATGGCGCACCCTGTACATATGTATGTATATACTTTGGGAGGACTGCCACGTCTCCTTCTATGTGTTACATATGTATGTACATTCGCAAAAAATAATACATACATATGTACATACATATAAAAGAATTGAATGCTAGAGTCGAGTGAGCTAAACTGTACCCACGCCCACAAACATTTCTTTAATCAAATCTAAAATACATAACATGTAGTTTTAAAATAATTCAATTACTTCAATATTGCGTATGTATATGTGTTCGTGTATGTGTGCAGTACAGAGTTGAGCCAAAGCAGCAGGAACAACAGCTGCGGGTTGACCATGGGCGGAGATTACACTTGTGGCTATAATTTCCTTTCCATAGGACCTATCGTAATGAAACGTGACATGAGGACACATAAGCACTAAAGGAATATACATGCCGAATTCCAAGGTATTATGGAAATCGTGGAGTGGTGCTGTATTCAAAAAACAAGAAAAGAATGCTAAAGTCGAGCCAGCTCAACTCTTAAAACAACTCTTAAAAACTAGTATAGCCTTTTACCCTTTGGGTACAGGCTATAAAAATCAAACCTTCTCCTTTCTAAAATTTAGAAGAATATGGACACCAAGTGTGGTTATTCTACATATGTATGTACATATATAGCTCTTATATTTTCAGTGATTCTTGCGTTTATACAGATGGAAACAGCTATATGGATTCGTCTAACCATAAAGAATATAAACTTTGTATATACATATGTACACGCCTATATACCACGTATAGACATATGTTTTTCAGCCCACCTTTATTTTATAAAAGTTTAACCATTTCACTTTTGTACTTAAGTCTTGTTTGTAAATCTGCTTATATACTCACACAACCATGCCATAAGCTCCTTCGCCAATGTAAGTCAATTTCCTGTACCTTGGTCCTACTTCAAATATTTGACCCCTTATTACTTCAGCATTAGGATGAGGAGCAGTGAAAGCAGCGGCTGCACCTTCAATTCCAGAAGAAGTGTTATGTTCCGACATTTTCTCTAAACAGAATTCTATAAAAATAAAATATTTACAACTATAGCAATTATAACTTTAAAATTCATTTTTAATATATCCATCTTTATACATACATACATATTTATATACATATGTATGTACATAAAATTAAAAGATACCTGTTAAATTCTTTAGGGCAACACCCTTTCCTTATAATTCGCCTTTTTTGTTGGCCTTTCAGTAGGTTTGTACGAGCTAACAGCAAGTTTGTAGAAGTTGTATACCTATGTATATACAAAACCCACTTATTTCAAAATAATTTATTTATCACTAAAAACATTAAAATACTTTATTCTTCTGTAAGTGTATGTATATGTATAGTAGGGATGTGACTAGAGTTGACAAGCAATCGATAAGTTTTTCTTCTTATATTTTCACCATCGATATTTCTTACCCTTATCGATTATTTTTCAGATGTAATGAACCAGGGAAGACAGGATTGGCTAAAATATAAGCTTCAGATTTTACTCGTATTTATAAATACTGAAATATTATATATTTATTTTTCCAGTTTTATGTATAAACATTTATAATTTAATACAAAATTGCATACCAGTTAAATAAATAAAATCAATATATAGAGGACGTGTTTTTATACACTGTACCCAAAGAGAAAAGTGGTATACCAGTTTTATGCGCATGTACATACATATGTAAGTATAAACAGGGTGCGCCATCTTTTATGTCGGTATGTAAATATTAAATAACTTTGTCATTAGTGAACCGATTGACTTGAGTATACCAGTGTTAAAAACCTCAGTTCAAGAAATTGTATAGAACCAAATTAAATAAAAATATCTAATACTTGAAAATCGGTTGTTTATTTTCAAAGATATTCAATGTTTACATACCGACATAAAAGAAGGCGCACCCTGTACATACATGCATATGAAATACGCTGTATAACAAGACAAGTCACTATACATCTATATATATAAACCAGTTTTTCCTGACTGACTGACTGAATGACTGACTTACTGACTGACTGACTGACTGACTGACTGATTGGTGATCAACGCACAGCCCAAACGGTAAAGGCTAGGAAGCTGAAATTTGGACTCAAGTATCCTTTCATAGTCTAGGTGCCCACTAAGAAGGGATTTTGGAGCTCCAAAAAATCTACAGTTTTCATCTGATTAACTTCAAACTTAGTTTGTATACTCTCAGAACAATTCCAAGGAAAACTGTATACTTGGTTTTTTGATATTTTTTTTTGGGGCCTAAAATATGGGAGTTTTCCTGTAAAAAAAATGTTGGGGCACAAAAGCAAACCGCGTCAACAGCCCACACGGTAAAAGCTAGGATGCTGGAATTTGGGCTCAAGTATCCTATCATGGTGTAGATGCGCACTAAGAAGGGATTTTGGAAAATTCGAGCTCCAAAGGGGGGAAAACGAGCTCCAAAATTTATTTGAAAAATCCGCATTTTATAGCCGATCGACATAAAACTTGGTTTCTGAAATCAATAAAAGAATACAAAGAAAACTGCATACTCGGTTTTTTAAATTTTTAGTTGGAGCTTGAATTATTGGGGTTTTCTTGGGCCACAAAAAGAAACCGCGTCAACAGCCCACAGCCCACAGCCCACACGGTAAAAGCTAGGATGCTGAAATTTGGGCTCAAGTATCCTAACATGGTGTAGATGCGCACTAAGAAGGGATTTTGGAAAATTCGAGCTACAAAGGGGGGAAAACGAGCTCCAAAGTTTGTTTGAAAAATCCGCATTTTATAGCCGATCGACATAAAACTTGGTTTCTGAAATCAATAAAAGAATACAAAGAAAACTGCATACTCGGTTTTTTAAATTTTTAGTTGGAGCTTGAATTATTGGGGTTTTCTTGGGGCACAAAAGGAAACCGCGTCAACAGCCCACAGCCTACACGGTAAAAGCTAGGATGCTGAAATGTGGGCTCAAGTATCCTATCATGGTGTAGGTGCGCACTAAGAAGGGATTTTGGAAAATTCGAGCTCCAAAGGGGGGAAAAGTAGCTCCAAAGTTTGTTTGAAAAATCCGCATTTTTCAACCGATCGACTTAAAACTTAGTTTCTAAAATAAATTAAAGTATACAAACAAAACTGCATACTTAGAATTTCGTTTTGGAGCTTGAATTATTGGGGTTATAATATTATTCACTATGTCAAATGAAAAGTTTGTGTTATAAATTTAGTCCGATCGATTTAAAATTTGGGTAATGTAATTTACGTAACTAAATCTACAACTTTTCATTCAAGGATTTTCAAAATATGCATTTTACAAATGCAGGCAGAACAAACAATACAAAATATCAAACATTTGGGGACAACTAAGTATACATACACACACACACACACACACACACACACACACACACACATGCAAGCAGCTGTTCGTGTAGTTGCGTGCAAACGAATGAAATAGCCAAAGCAACATGTGAGACACTAATGCTTGAATGTACATATGTATCTACATATATATGTATGTACATTCGTCTTGCACTGACAGAGCAAGAAATGTTAATTAATTTGTTGAAAAATGTATATCGATGTATAGTATATCAATGCACGCATGTACGATCACACAACATATGTTTTTCTGTATGAAGCGTTTGTCACACGAAGAAGATGGCAAACGAATAATGTAAAACTAACCACGCATACACACAACATATGTTTTTCTGTATGAAGCGTTTGTCACACGAAGAAGATGGCAAACGAATAATGTAAAACTAACCACGCATAGTTAGTCTTCAATAAACTTCTCAATGGTACACATGTGTTGCGTTCATTATTATTTGGCCGGGTTTCCGTGACGAACCCCTCCCTCATTTCAATAGGTTATGGGCCCAGGCAATGGCCTGTTAGTGAACTCGTCGACAAATGTTTGAGTTACGAACTCTGAGACATTAATAATAAAGTGTTTGTGAAGATTTTGTGTTTGCAACGTGCAAAAGAAACAACACAAAATGAGTGCATTATACCAGATCGAGAAACTGGAAGAAAAGAACTATGAGTCATGGAAAATACAAATGCACAGTGTATTGATCCATGCGGAGCTATGGGGCGTGGCCTCTGGTGAAGTGGTTGCGGAAAGTGCTGAGTATGCCAAGTGGAGAGCTTTGGATCAGGCCCTTGCAACTATCACATTGAGTGTAAAGCCATCGCAATTGGGTTATATAAAAAATAGCCAGACAGCAAGTGAAGCTTGGATGAAATTGCAAGAAGTTCACCAGCCTAGTGCCCCTGTGCGCAAAGTATCACTTTATAAAAAGTTACTTAGCTTGCGGATGGCACAAGGACAGAGCATTTCCAATTATTTAAATACGTTTAATGAAGTATTGGACCAGCTAGTTTCTGTGGGAATTGAGATAAATGATGAGCTACGTGCTATTATTCTGCTTTCCAGCCTTCCATCAGAATACGAAAATTTCGTTGTTGCTATCGAGACGCGCGATGATTTACCGCAATTCGACATTCTAAGTATAAAGCTCAAAGAAGAGGGTGAACGAAGGTCAATAGAAACAGACAAGGGATATGCAAATGCAACGGCATTCACAATTGTTCAAAAATCGAACACTTATGCGAAAGGCGCCTCAAAGAAGAAACAGTTAACGGTGTTTGCTTCAAATGCGGCGAAAGGGGACATTTCAAGGCGAATTGCCTCAGTGTAAGCGTGCACAAAGCGAGCAGAAATATAAAAGAAGGAAAAGGCGAAGTGGCATTGGTTTATATGCACTTAAGCTGATCGACGTTCTGTATGTACCGCAGCTGACGGGCAATTTCGTTTCTGTAAATCGAGCTGTTGAAAACAAATGTTTGGTTAATTTTGGCCCGGCAAAAGCTAAAACAATTCAAAATGGTGATTGCATACTGGAAGTAAACAAAGTTGGTAATTTATACATGTTTCAAGACAAATTAAATCAATGTTATGCTGCTGTGCAAGTCGATGGAGTCTTGTGGCATAGAAGATACGGCCATTTAAATTATGCAAGTTTGTCGTAAATGACAAAGAAAGGCATGGTACGAGGTGTGGAAGCGGCTGAATTTTCGTCAGAGAAACAATGCAAAACGTGCATGGTGAGCAAGATTCACGTTCATCCCTTCCCAAAAGCTGCCGAAAGTCGGACAAAAGAACTACTGGAGCTGGTTCATAACATGTTCATTTGGCGGATCCAGATATTTGAAAAGTTCGTTGAGTACAAGAATCTTGTGGAGCGTCAAACCGGCAAGAAGCTTAAATGTATTCGTAGCGACAATGGGCGCGAATATGTAAACAAAAGGTTTGATGCATTCCTTACACAACATGGTATTGCACGTCAGCTGACCGTTGCATACACACCGCAACAGAATGGAGTTGCAGAGCGAGCTAACCGTACCCTGGTGGAAATGGCGAGGTGTTTGTTGGTGGAGTCCAAACTTTGCAAGGCGCTTTGGGCTGAGGCTATAAACACTGCAGCGTATTTGCGAAATCGGTCGCATACAAGGGCGCTGACAGATATGACAACAATGGAAGCGTGGACTGGTAAGAAACCATCAATAAGCCACTTAAAAGTTTTTGGTTCCGTTGCAGTAGCACTCGACAAAGGTCATGCGAAGGGAAAGTTTCAACCAAAAGGCAATGGTCGGGTACTCGAGGCAAGCAAAAGGATATCGTTTATATGATCCAGAATCGAAGCAAATAGTCGAAAAACGGGACATTCTGTTCGATGAACTTGGCGAAGAGGCACAAACTAGAAGTGAACCAGCAACGTTTGATGGGCTGATTCAAGAAAATTTTGGTACCAAAGGCTCCGAGATTAATTTGAATGACATCAACGACGATGGCTCTGATGACAACAAAGACGACAACAGCGATACAGAAAGTTCCAGTACAGATGTCGACAGCGGCGATGCATTCGAAAGTGCTGAAGATGCACCTGCCCAAGAGGATCGTGGTGTGCGGGTTGGACCCGGCAGACCAAGATTGCTAAGGACGGGTAGACCTGGTCGCCCGAAAAAGCAGTTCAACGTACTTAGCGCTATGGTCACAAGCGATGTCGTTGTGCCATTATCCTATGAAGAGGCAATGGAGAGTACACATGCATCTTACTGCCGCGAGGCAATGAAGAAAGAATACGATTCTTTGAGAGCGAATGAAACCTGGGCGCTTGCAGATTTACCAAGAAATCAGCGAGCAATTGGCTGCAAATGGGTTTTCAATTTGAAGCGAGATACAAGCGGTAGCATAGAACGTTTTAAAGCACGTTTAGTTGCCAAATGATGCTCGCAGCTGTATGGTATTAACTACGTGCAAACATTC